GATTCGTGGTCGTCGCTGACGACCGCGGGGTCTACCCGCATGGCACAGCTAATGGCCCAAAGGAGATAACTTATCTCCTGTTGTGCCATTTCTTCACGCATGGCCTGCTCTAGCACAAAAATTGGATTGCACTGCAAAAAGCGGAGGCAGGAGCGACACTGTCGCACGCGTTGCAGGCATTGTGGCGCTGCCAACTGATTTTCTCGACCGTCCCTTCTAGGGTACGGCGCCTCTGGCGACTCAGCCGCATAAGTGCGGGCTGCTTGGTCAACCATAACTGGCACTGACAGTTATATAAAAGGGAGTGGAAGGTCGTCGCTGACGACCCCCACTGCTGCGGAGCACTACAAGCTACTCTATAAAAACTTTTTGGATCACAGATCCAACTTCAAGCCGAAAGCTGCACGGCAAAGCTTGTCTAGTGTCACTCACACACAAGTGAAAACACTGTTTTCCTTTTTCGACAAACTTTGTCTACACTTTCGGCGGAAAATAAAACCCATTCACGCACGCATGATGGATGCGTATTCAAAAGCTATAGAATGAAACCGTTTTTCTTTGTTTTTGCTCGCATTGAAGACTTTTCGAGCAAAAGTGTATGCACTTTCGGCCAAAAGTGTATACACTTTTGGCGAAAGTGTATACACTTTTGGCAAAAGTGTATACACTTTTGGCCAAAAGTGTATACACTTTTGGCGAAAGTGTATACACTTTTGGCAAAAGTGTATACACTTTTGGCCAAAAGTGTATACACTTTTGGCGAAAGTGTATACACTTTTGGCAAAAGTGTATACACTTGTGGTGAAAGTGTATGCACTTTTGGTGAAAGTGTATGCACTTTTGGTGAAAGTGTATGCACTTTTGGTGAAAATGTATGCACTTTTGGTGAAAGTGTATGCACTTTTGGTGAAAGTGTATGCACTTTTTGTGAAAATGTATGCACTTTTGGTTGAAATCTATACATTTTTTGTGTAAATGTATAGATTTTAAGCTAAAATTATGCATTTCTGGTGAAAATGTATAGATTTTTGGTGAAAATCTACACAATTTTGGTAAAAATGTATAGATTTTTGGTTAAAATCTATACATTTTTGGTAGAAATGTATAGATTTTTGGCTAAAATCTATACATTTTTGGTGGAAATGTCTAGATTTTCACCTAAAATAATACATTTTTGCTGGAAATGTATAAACGTTTGATTGAAATCTATACATTTTGGGTGGAAATATTTAGATTTTCACCTAAAATGATACATTTTTGCTGGATATGTATGAACTTTTGATTGAAATCTATACATTTTTGGTGGAAATGTATAGATTTTCACCTAAAATGATACATTTTTGGTGGAAATGTATGAACTTTTGATTAAAATCTATACATTTTTGGTACAAATGTATAGATTTTGGGCTAAAATGTATGTGTGTTCTGCAAACGTCTGTGTTTTTTTGCAAGTAAAAAAACATTTTTCAATAAAATCCATATGTATTCAGTGAATTTTATTACTGGTTGCTGATAATCCAATCAAAATTACAATCGTTTTAAGTATTTTTCATGGAGATTCCAATGGAATTTCTACAGAACTCTAAATTCGCGGATGAAATTTGGCTCTTTGTTTTAAAGAACATGATTGAAATGCTACGGAATTTACAAAACTCTTTTTTTTTACAATGTGAAACCGTCACAAAATATATGCAACTTCTACGGTTTCCGTCTCACAAACCATTGAGAAGATTTTGATTTCATTCTGAACAATCACAACAAAAACCGGTTTTGGGAGCATAAGAACACTCACCCCACCCTATACCCCACCCCACCCTATACCCCACCCCACCCCCCATGATGGTTTTCGCTGTCCCCTTGTTGTGTTTTGGTGTGCTCACATAACCCTCCCCTGCCCTAACTCGGTGTAACACCAAGAAAGGAACAGGGGAGTTTGCTTTGAAGCTCGAAATTCCACTATATCTAGACCGGGCCGCGAAGCAAACTGTCCCTTTGTTGTGTTGTGTTTTGGTGTGCTCACATAGCCCTCCCCTGCCCTAACTCGGTGTAACACCAAGAAAGGAACAGGGGAGTTTGCTTTGGAGCTCGAAATTCCACACACATCTCTCCACTGCACACAGAAGCACACTATTTCTGTGATGTTTTCCTCTGCGTTCTACTACTTTAGTTGTGCTGGCTAGGCGTGTATCCCGAAGGGATTAAACTCGACTAAGCGGAAGCTTTTTCATGGAGTGCCGTATGCCCACGAAGTCCGGGCAGCAAGTCCAGCGTTCTTGAACAAACTTCGGACTTTTGCAAGTACTCTGAGCCTGAATGTTACGTCGATCGTACATGCTTCGCATGATCAAAGTAGAAAACTACACGAGTGGTCAAAAGCTACAAAACTGTTCTAGCAAAATAAGAGTACAGGGCATTTTTTGCTGTAGAAAAACTCAAAACCCAAATTCAAGCGAATATAAGTTGCACTCACTCCGTAAGTATAAAAGTCAATCAACTCATATCGTATCGCATCACTCGGACCCTTCTTTTCTTTCAGGGGGCGCACCGGGTTGCCCGGCCTTAGGCCGCGGGCTAGGCGCACTGCCAACATGCCGTTCGCATGTTGGGCCAACGTAGAGCACAGCCTACGGAGTGGTGCACAACTGGAGTCGCAAGATCGGCCCCAAGCGATCTGAAGTCTCGACGGGTGTGGTGGGAGGGTAGTCGAGACCCATCTCCCACTCTTGAGCAGCAATGTAACACGACGTGGACATTTCACATGCTCTTCAAGGAAATTTCTTCTCTCAAGAAATCACTGCTCGAAAATACATTGCTTAAAGTGGGAGAGGCAGCACACGGGTTAGGGCATTAAGGTTTTTGAGTTTTCTTCGCTCGCCGCCACGGCGGCTCGTCACGAACGCAAAAAGGTACTAGCTGTCGTCGCAGGCTAGACAGCAAAGGTACTTTTTGCTGTAGAAAAACTCAAAACCCAAATTCAAGCGAATATAAGTTGCACTCACTCCGTAAGTATAAAAGTCAATCAACTCATATCGTATCGCATCACTCGGACCCTTCTTTTCTTTCAGGGGGCGCACCGGGTTGCCCGGCCTCCCCAGAAAGTAGCAACACGGTACGTTCCCACTCAAGACCAGAGATTACAAGTCGACCAGCGGGATGCCCGAGATGGGGCATGAGCACTTAACTCGTAATGCACCCGAATCAACAAGTGCTCTGAACTCACCGCGTGACGGGTCGTCTGAAGGATTGGATGCGGAAGGGACCCTTGTCCAGTATGTCCACGATGGACCATGTTTCTCACAGCATTCCCATGTGAGAAGCAGCTCTCGAAAGTGATCACTGTTAGACGTTCCTCGCACAAAGCTGAGAAGGACAGCGTCGTTGTCAACGAAGAAAAGGCAATACTGTCCAGACATGTACTGGTGGAAAGCCTTGCGTGCCAGGGCGACAGCGTACGCCTCAACGGGTCCGATAATATGCTTCAGATGCTGCCTCCATCGGTCTGCCAAGGCACAAGGAACTTCGCAAGAAAAGAATCGGGGCCGCGCATCAGAAGGAGAGTAAAGAATACCTCCAACGGTGTTGCCAGACTGTTCGCTTGCTCCGTCCGTGAAGATCAAAACAGGCTTAGGGGCAACCACACAAGGGACTACCCTAGGGGAACCGAAAGAGAGGCGATCAATGAGAAACTCGAAAGCCTCGATCTCGCGGGGACCCAGAACAAACCGGGAGGCGTGGCGTGTGGAAGCGGCTCTCAGCTCCGCCAATGCGAGCTTTCCGGTTCTCCCCATGACTTGCGCATCGGAGAACTGGACACGACCTGCAACCCTGGCAAAAGTACGCATCTTGATGCAACCTTCACTGATGCATTCACGGATGGCATCACACACCTCACTGGATCGGCCTTCCTTGTTCCTAATCCGAATGACACCTTCCCTGGCTCCTTTCAAGTCAATCTCGACCCCAAGCATGGAGGCGACGTCTGCAAATGGGTTCAGTTTGTCAAGGGATGCGGAAAAACCAAGCACTGAGGACAACACAAGCAAGGTGTCCATGGTGGAACCTGAAAGACAGCACGGGCTCATCACTGGATAATCGTCAACGAAGTTGGCCCAGAACAGGAAGACTTCCAAACCTATCCGCCACAGCAACCTAGACAACCTGTTGAAGTGGAGCACGGACGATGTGCTTCCAAAAGGCAGAGCCTTACCCTCAAACAATCCCAAGTCGCCATTATCCGGATTGAGAAGGGCAACGACGGAGAAGGCACGATGGCTCGGGTTCAACGCAAATTGGCGATAAGCATTCTTCAAATCAAAGGTGCACAGCTCAGGACACCACGACGAACCCGCCCAAGCAGGGTGCACTCGACCAACCAACGGTGGTCCACTGGCCATGTCCAGAAAGAATTGATGCTCCGTCGTGTGAGCTCGGATCCAAAAGCGACATATTGCAATGATCTCGTCAAGTGCCCTTAGATCTAGCTTATCCCCATAAGAAAAAGAACCATTAACTAAGTTTTTTTTTCACAAGCAGCGTCCCCGGTGGTCGCCTAGCTCAGGCACTACAGGTTTTCAACCTGGTGTCTCGAGGACACTTTGCCCCTAGCACTGGCAGCCAGTGCAAAAGCACACGCCCGGCACGAATGCCCAAGCGACGTATGCACGGTAACTAGAACTAGCACTAACAAAAAAGTTGCGAGACTACAGAGCCGGAGCAACTGCGACAACCACAGCTACACAGCACACTCACTGTACCGTGACAAGTGGAGTGCCTAGACAGCTATTCCTAGAGCGATCCGACACCGAGGATGCAAGGGCGTCCCCAGAGACATCCAAGCAGTGAGCACACCCGTCCGTAACACCGAAGTGTCCGACAACAAGCATAGCCTCCTGCGACCAGCGAGGACTAAGCAAGGTGCACGTGCAGTGGCCGTAACCGCTCATGAAGTTTCCGTCTATGTACCCTGACTCAGCATGGACTTCAAAGAGAAAACCGCAGCATCACATGTACGGGTCGGTGTCATGTTCGCACGTGGCCACTGAAAAGCCAGCTTCCTGCAGAGAGAGTAGATGATCCTGACCGAGGCGCCAAGCATCCCGGATGTGGAAGGCGCAAATCATCACTCGCTCTCCGACCCATGGCATGACAGCATGAGGATGTGTGGCATCAAACGAGACATAAGGATGCCGTATAGGTTGGATGTTGCCAAGCATCAACGTGCCCGGATAAGCCACAGTCCCCGTCACATCAGCGAGCCAAAGCTCGCCTCCATCCCAGCATCCAGCAGGAATAAGAATGTTGTGAAAAACATTAACTAAGTTCTCGGAGTAGTCGTCAATCGGTCTCAACTTGCGCTTGCCTCCAGAAGATTGAATCACGGCGAACCGGCGCACAGGGGCCCATGCGTCGCCGTACCTTCTCGTCAGCTCTTCTTCGGTAAGTGGTCCCTCCAAGAACCCTTCGGCAACCTCAGTCAAAGTCTTATCCCACAGTTCCGAGGAATGCTCATTCAAACCCTCGGACAAAACCTTACCCAAAAGCGCCGGACGGATGTACTTACAGGCCTTAGTAAACTCGTCAGCCGTCCTCTCCTGGGGACGAGGCTCCTTTCTAAAGACACCAGTGGGCTTCTGCCAACCAACCAAACCAAAACCCTTACAAGTATCCTCAAACCATCCATCGTCGGGCCACTTCAAGTCATCAGCAATGCGTTTGAGCAAGAGAAGCCTCTTTGATCCTAACACAGACCTCACACCAGGTTCGAGGCCCTCCTTAAGTCGGGACTCTGGTTCCTCCAATTCCCTGGCCCATTCTAACCACTTGTTGAGAGTGGCCACACGTTGCCTACCAACCCACTCAGGGCCCTTCACCAAGGCCTCATGAAGCTTTCGTTTCACTTCGTCGGGGATGACAGCAAACGTCTCGAAGGGATGCCGTAATCCTTTGGCCTCCTCCAGAAACTCATCCGGTGTTGCATACACACCAACACTAAGTTCGAAGCCACCCGACTCCCCCGTCTCCTCAGTGGCGAGAAGTTTGGAGCCTGCGGGGATGTCACCGATGGCGTGCTGCAAGCAATTTTTATGATCCACAGGCGGAATCTGTGGCACACGACATCTGCAAACGCGACCAAATTCTCTGATGAGGCTCGCACCAAGTTTACCCCGACGCTGCTGTGTGACAGGCGGAGGGCTGGACTGCAGCGGTGACAAAAGGGGGTCAAAGCCACAGTGTTTAGCCACGGCGTGGGCAACCTGCTGACAGAAAAGCCTGGGATGAGTATCAACACCGCCAGTCACAGGCGTGTGACTGTGATTACCATGGCACACTTGTTGTAAACACTTGAGTGCACTACAAGACGTTAGCAGTTGCCTCCGCAAGCGATGCGGAGAATCGAAGGCACACAAATCGTACACCACGGTAGTGGTGTTGGTGAGCTGGCGCACAGCAGGCATATGCCACAGGAAGCTGGACTGCGGATGCTCAATGGACCAGGCGATGCCCATCTGTTGAACTCGTTTTAAGAAGGTGATGACATGTTCCAACAAGGAGTCGGCCAATGCGAGCCTTTGAACCTGAGAGGCGTCGGCGCCTCCTACAGGAACTACAGATCCATGGGACAGTCGTCGGAGGCCCTGCTTAGGTCCATAGGTGGCATACGGCAGATCAATGTGCACGTACCGAACATGATAGTTGTCAAGCACATGCGAAAGATACTGCCACGAGCTCGGCAAGGCAAGATCCAGTGAGCACAACTTGGCCAACGGAAGCCGGTGACTTCCCCTATCTATGGGCATGACCTCAAAGCCAATCTGATGAAAGGCTCGGGACAAAGAGCCTGCACGGGCAAACAGCTCGAGCACAATACCAGGCTGGTCAACCGGCTTGGCCTGAACCTGACCAGTAGACACTACGGAATCTTCTACGGGGGCTAAACCCGACTTGGAGGAAGCTAGAGGCGGGGAAGTCACTGGTTGTGCGAGGCCGAGTGGTTTTGGAAACTCATCAGTAGCACACCCCCCGGTAACGACCGGCGCTTCATAGCAAACCGGAGGTGACTGTTCGGCATCAAGAATGTCGGCTTGCATCGGGAGCTGAAATTCCAAATCGGTCAGTGTAGCACTATCAGTCTCACTAAGGTGATCAATGGCGGAGACTGAAAAAGCAACTAACACCACTCTATCACCCGACCAATTCCTAGTGGCGTGAGTCAAACGTCGAGCGGTGAAGACGGCATGACTCCCATCCAAGCTGAGTTCGACTCCACTGCGTAGTTCGCCATCAACATCGCACCAAGCTTGGCCGCCTGGTCTCTCAACCCACACCTGTCCCTGATCGAAGTCAGACAGTGCACACACAGCATTGGGCAAAGAAGAATTATGCGCATCCACATGAGGTGTGGTTTGAACGTTGCGAAAGAATGCTAAGCTCGTGAACTTTAAGCTGGGCAGCTGCTGTCGCACAAAGCGCGCGGCCAACTTTGTCACATTCGGGAAGAGCAAGACATTACGTCGCAGCCCAACCTTGACTCTGCAATAGGCACCTGTCGAGAAGGAGACCCCTTGTGATGGGTCACCTCGGACGGAAGCCTCTGTGGGGAGTGATTGGAAGATCTCAAGTAAATCAGTGGGGGAAACAACACCAGCATTGTTCAGCAGGGTCAGAGCTCGATCCTCGACCGAACCCTTGAATTCGTGATCAAGACTTGCGCTACTGATCGACTCAATTTCATCGATGGCCTTGACCTCATCAGCCTGAAGATTGGTTTGAAGTGAAACGCGTGCAATCTTGGGAGCAGGAGCCTGGGCCCCTAGTCACTCGGTATTGCGCTTTGGGCAGTTGGGGTAGAAGTGCCCGGGCTGGTAACAAAAGCAGCAAACGTGAGCACCCCTGAAGCACTTGTTGCCTGTCAATTGCCTAGTGCATTTGCCCCTCTGAGCATCAAAGCAAATGGGCACTCCTTTCGGGGTGTTTGCGTGCCCGTCCTTTAGGTCCTCTGGCATGGTCACCTCGCGGCGCGACGGTTGCTTACCCTTGCCAGAACCTTTTCCCCGACCTTTGCCCCGCCTTTGCCACGGCCATACGGAGTGGGTCTTTCAAAGGGAATCTTAGCGGGAGGAGGCGACGCGAGAGGAGCGAGCAAATGAGACACCTCGGTCAAATCGGCGCAACGCATCCACGCCTCGTCCAATGGACGACCGGTCTCCGTGACTTGCACTCCACTGCGACACTCATTAGCAGCGGTGACAAACAATTGCTTATCGGCTTGAAGCAGCTGCTGTATGCTGACTCGGGTGTATCCCGAAGGCACCTCACGATATCTGGAGTGCAACAGGCGCTCAGCCCATTTCTCATGTTCTTTGAAACCTAACAATCCGGCCTGTTCCATCGCGAGTCCTCGCCGAGTGAGGGCGAATTTCAGTAACAAGTCAGTGCTCAAGTCGGCCTCACCTCGAATGTCGGCGTTCTTGATGTGAACATTACCGCTATTGTCAACTGTGAGGGTACGATCCTCCTTGTCCCGGGAATTCCGAGTCTCATCGTCCTTGCTCATGCACCAACTCAGCGGAAGATATGTAAGGCGATTGTTTTCATACATTTGACAACACTTGTCCACTGACCTGTCACTCGGTTCATTAGGCCCGGCGATAGTCAAGCCTGGATACCGCACCACTTGACGAGCCAGACGATCTGCTCGGTCAGGAGCGGCAAGGCTCCTCGCTGGTGCATCGGTGGTGCGCTCAACCTGAGATTTAAGCTCGGCCGCGACCAAAGCAAAGGCCTCAGAGTGCAATCGGCGCAGCACCGAAAGCTCCCCCACGGTAGCATCCCTCTTCAACAAGTCCTTTATGGAAGTCACAAAAGGACCCTCATCACTCTGACCCGGAATGAAGCTGCTCACATACGCAAATTTGGCAAGAGTGTTGACGCCACCATCGACAAGCAGCTGAAGCACCTCAGCTTTCAAGCCGAGTTTCGCAGCCCGGGAGCTAAAATTGGCCTCACTCTCAGTAATACTCATGGTTCCAGCTTGAGCCGACCTGACTCTCGCGAACCCATGTGGTCCCCATCGTTGTTGATCACAACGATTTGCAAACAACTCTCTACCGACACTCACACATCGCAACGTCGCTCAAGAATTGTTTCGCCTCCAACTCGTGTCGCGTCACCTTCAAAATCGCGATGCCACTGACATCCCATCACCGTGACACGCAGGGCCCATGGGCACACCGCACCGATGTGAAGTGTACAATCCTTGGCGCTGGCACGGTACACTGTTGCAACAACATGTGGACAAAACGCACGGGGCCGACACGGCACACCGTGATCACGCCAGGACCGTCCCTTTCACATCATCAATGTTCTGTCGTGGCGGGGTCTCGCTGACACACCGTTGACCCGACATGTGATACGACTCGGGGCAAAATGCACACCGATGACATTCTGACGCGGGGATAGCACACCGGCCATCGACCTCGGTCGGGGCCGCAACGGCACACCGTCCTCAGTATCCCTCTATGTCACGCTCGCCAAACACAAATCTCAGCTCTGATCCCCTCTAACCTGCTCTCCAACAGCAGGCTCGACACTGGAATCTGTTTTGACAGAGTTGAAGCACCTGGCACACACAGGGTACAGAAACGATGGAACAGCTGCCACCTTCTCGTAGTTCTTCGTGCATGTCCTGCCGCAAGATAGAGAAGTTCCGCCCTCGTCGGCAATCAAGTGCAGCATGCGTGAAGACCGATTGCGAACCAAGTGCTCTGCCTTCAACTCGCGCTTAGGCACTTCCTCACACCAACCATCCACGACCCCGTCCAGCGCTCGCTCGAGCTCCTGACAATCGGTCTCGGCATCCTCTTCATCAAGAGACGCCTCTGAGGAAGCTTCGTAGTCGTAGCTGGCGTTGGGGTCGTCCTTCGTGGGGAAGTACCCGCTCCGGGTACTGTCCGGAACAAAAGTCCCTGACCGCGAGGACTTTCTCGAGCACCCTGACCGATGCTGATACGGCATCGCGGCTGTATACTTGGGCGCTGCGGTCGCCCGGAGCCGTGTGATACCCCAACACTCTCTGATCATAGCTGTCGATGCCGAATCTGGCACACCAAGATAGACAAGTCGCTTTACATGAGTGCGTTCCAATAGGGGAACACTGAGCCTCAGAAAATCCGCACTTGCGGAGCACGTTTCTCAACCATCCAGCAGCGACCGAAGCACTCGGAGGGTGACTAGCCCAGTGTCCGGTGGTCAAAATCGCAGGCAGGACGGGCAGCCCCTCTCCAACAGGGACGTTCAATTCCTTTCTCAGCATGGACCACGCCTGGAACCAATCTTCGCCAGCGATACCCTTGCGTGGACACACCATCGGCAGCAGCTGAGTTTTCCTCTCAGTGGTGTAAGATGTCTTGCTGCGTGCGATGTCGGCCTGAAGGTAGCCTCCAAGCCCAGACGGGTCGACCTGCGGCTTGTCCTCGCTGACATTGTACATGTTCTGTGTATCAGAATACCTGGCCCTCATAAAAATCGAGAGCAAGAAGAATCCAGCTATGAACCGATCAATGCGATCCCCATCGGGGGAAACTACAAACCTCTCAAGTCGCTGTACCATCTCAGTCGACAACGGTGGGCGCTGGACCCTCTTCCGCTTTGTCAAGTAGCATGCCCTGGCCACACCACTCAATCTCATGCTAGCCATCGCCTCCTGAGCGCTCTCCGCTCCAAGAATGAAGAAACAAAAGGTCACCGCGCTCAGGAAGCTTTTGAGGAAACTCGGCGAGCATGTATGTTCGCACTCACAAGCAAACTCGTACATGTCATCCTCCTTGAATGGAAATGCCAAGACTGCATGCCTATCAGCCCATGCCACGTATCGTATGAGCGGATCAGCCCGACTGTGCAGAGTTCCAACTGCCTTACCTGCGAACACATGTCGCAGCGACCTTGACACTTGGACCCCGACAGGTGCTAGTGACGTGACCTTCCGACCCACATCGAAAGACTGAGGGCTCCTGAGTACAAGAGCAGTCCACTTCCGAACGGCCGCCACCAGTCTCTTCTCGGTCTGGTTCTCCCAAGAAATATCATGACGTACACGAGAGAATCGATGTGCAAAAGAGACAGCCGGCTGTTTGGGAACCGGAACAGAAATGTTGCTGCTCACAGGAATGAGGGGTAGTGGCCCCCTTCCCAAAGGTACACTGAAATCAAGCAAGCTATTTCGAAATTCAGGTGTCTCCCAAGGCATCCTAAAAGCCGAGCCCTGAGAAGTTCGCAAACATGTGCTGAGATGAGCATCGTAAGCAGAGTCGCTGGCCGTCCTCTGCCTCTTTGCACTTTCTTCGGATGCCATCCTTCAAGTGCTGCAGGCCACCGCTCGCCCCTAAAACTCGGCCCAAGCACTAACGCAATGGTTCTGCCTCGGGCTGCGAATCAAGAGCAGGTTGGGCACAGAAGAAGCTAGCACGGATTTGCCAGCTTGCGTGAAGAATTTGTAGGCGCTCAACAGAGGAAAGGCAGGCCCAAATCAAGCTGGCAAGATCTCTCAGCTGAATTGTCCTGGCCAAAGCGGCCTGCATGGCTGGGCCCACCTCTATAGTCGAGACCCATCTCCCACTCTTGAGCAGCAATGTAACACGACGTGGACATTTCACATGCTCTTCAAGGAAATTTCTTCTCTCAAGAAATCACTGCTCGAAAATACATTGCTTAAAGTGGGAGAGGCAGCACACGGGTTAGGGCATTAAGGTTTTTGAGTTTTCTTCGCTCGCCGCCACGGCGGCTCGTCACGAACGCAAAAAGGTACTAGCTGTCGTCGCAGGCTAGACAGCAAAGGTACAGGGGAAAATGTTGATCACCCCGCCCGGACATCCCCAGTGACTTAGACTGGAAGATGTTCGCATCAACATACAGCGTACGATACATCACAGTAGCGACCACTTCTTACTACAATACACGGCTCAACAAGTCAGCGTAGCTACGATCCAAAGTCGTCTATACACTACGCGCACTCCATCAAAGGCTTGGACAGCCTATGACGAAATGCAAGCTTGACTCACCCAAGCGTAGGCGGTTCAAGTGGGCTCCATGCAGCTCTGGGCTGCCCCACTACGACAAAGCATGATTCCTAAGGAATCAGCACAAGGATTGCGATGCCTAATTGCATCGAGTGGCTCGTGAGCCTACTCATTCGGACTCGCAGCTGCTCCACAGCTGCCAAAGGTGTTGGTAAGTGAATCAAGATTGACAGCAAAATGCTGTTTCCAAAGTCCTGTCAGTTTCTGCTCAAACACAAGACTATGTACAGTCGTCGCTGGTCGTCAATGACACACACACAAAGGTAGTGCCACTGACTATGTACAGATGACCAATGCATCAGCATCATGAGCATTCAAGACCCAAGTGTGTTGCGACACGCAATCCAAGGATCATCACTTTTGTTTCTTGCTGCCACCAAAGCAACTTCCGCACGGCTTGTAACCTCGCTCACGGGCTGTGGCGATTCCAAGCTTCACGATCTCATCAGCATTGTTAAGACAAGTGCAATTCCTGCTTTTGTGGTACGACTTGCCTCGTCTCAAAGTGCAATAAACATGCAACTCAGGCACATGCTGGATCACATCGTTGGAACCCCGTGCGGCATCGCCATCTATGAAGATAGCACGGTTCGGCTCTGGCGTTGGCAGCGTTCTCTCTCTTGTTCGATCTTTCGCCTCGTGGTATTCTCCCCAAGCGATACGGTCGTAGTTCATTTCAGCGATCAATCTGCTCAAGCGCTCGTTCTCCTGCTCAGCGGCATGCAGTGCGGCTCGCACCCGTCGCAGGCACATCATGATTGCCAGGCAGAACGCTGAAAGGCTGCAGGTGAAAGTCAATGGAACCCAATTCCACCAACCGTCGGTTCCCTGCTCGTACACTTCCTCAGTGGAGGTGCTGGCATTGCTCACGTTCAAGGCGATGTCATCTTCATTGCCCTCTGTGGTCCATAGCCGCCCAAGGCTCAAAGATTTCAAGGCAAGAAGGATAGCACATGTGCAAATCACCAAGACGGCCAGCGACTGCGCCCACCGTGCATCATCATCGGTCTGCACACCGACCTCACGCCTGGTACCACTGCTCTCGGCACCTTGCACAAGCGACAGCATCATCACCATCATTGCAGCGTTGAAGCTCTGCATCCCGTTGCTCTTTAGCGTCTTACACACAAGTCTGCGAACCCTCTGTGTTTCACGCTCACGCTGCAACTGCTCCAACAACGCATCATGCTCTGCACGGCCTACCTCCTCTATGCAGTCACCCGCACAGTACACAAAGTCATGCATGCACAACAAAGCACGTAGGCGGGATCCTGAGCACGGCACCTTGGTTCCCAGATCCGATGGGTTCCTCCTCCCATCGACCGGCTGCACGCGGAGTGTGCGATCGGCTGTCTTCTCCTGTATCCAGAGAAACCTTCCATCAAGATGCCTGATCTTTGATACACCCTGCTTCAAAGATATCTGGCGACAGGAGCTGTTATCAGTCCTCATCAGAAGATCTACCGGTAGTTCAAGCAGGTATTCAAGAACCCTTTTCAGGTAGATGCCGTCGCACGCCGCGGACACCAGGGCGTAAAATTCGCTTTCCGCACTACTGAGGCTTACGCACCGTTGGCTCTTACAGGAAGTATAGACTATAGACGCAGCAGCTGTTCAAAAAGAACGAGCTGCTGCTCATCGACCGGCGAGTCTGCTTGTTGCCGCTCCAGTTTGCATCACAGAACACCTCTAGCCGAACGCCATCAAGACACTCCTCGGCATCAGGTGGCTCAAGAATGCTTGCTCGATCGCCCTTGGCATGCACCTTGCTTGCGTAGCCGGCCGTTCCAACAAGATACCCTGCAAGGCGTTGCGCAAACTGCCAGCCGCGCTCAGTCGGTGCTTTAAGGTTCTGGGCTAACACCCTCACCGTAAAAGCAATGTCACTCCGATCCTGTGACACATACATGCCTATCCCAACGGCGCTGCGGTACTTGGCTGCTCGAGCAGAGTCCAGCTCCTTGCTTCCATCCGGCATGAGAAGCTCCTTGGTGCACGGCGTAGGGAACTTCCGATGCAACGGCACATCAAGAAGGTTTGCCATATTCACAGCATGGTCCGCAAGTGGCTTTATCAAGATCCCATCATCAAGAATTATGTGCTCTCTTTTAAGAAACTTGAAGCTGTCTCCAGGCATGCAGGCTACCTCGTAGGACACTTCAAAGGTTTTCTCAAAGCTTGGGACTAGCTCTTTAAGAAGCCACTGGACAAACCCAACCAGGCACAAGTCATCTACATGTATCAACCCGGGGTTTACACGGCCCTTGGGATCAACGATCTTATACACCGATGGGCACTCAGCACAGCTTGTGAGCTTGTGCTCCTCGCGGATGTAGTTCATGATGAATTGATGCCATCGGGCTGTCCCGTCCCGCTGTCCAGGGAGCATCTTGAGAAACCGCATTCGGCTTGCAAATCCAGGGATCTTGGCCAGCATGGGACGCTCCTGGGGGACGTTAAGAAAAGCGTCACGCACATCAAGCGCGATCACTCCTATGCGGTCGGTCTCATCAGGAGACTCTCTGGCTCGCCGGCTGAGCTCGCAATACAGCCACGGCAAAAGCTTGGTGGTGATGGCTGACGTTGCTGGTGCATAAAGATCCTCTCTGTCCCGCTCCAGCCACCGGTACTCGCGAGCTACCAGCCTGGACCGTCTAAAGTACATCATCTTGTCTTTGTGCAGTTTCTTACGCCATGTCCTCACGAACTTCGAAGACAATTCCTTGTGGTCCGACGTGTCCACTTCATCCCCGATCTCCTCAAGGACGCCTTTGCGAAGCAAGCGCTGCACCTCGAAAGAATCAGCGATTCGATCAAGATCCTCTTGCTGTTGCTCGGACAAATCAGGGATCGAATCATACCAAAGACACTCTTCGTTGTCAAGGGCATGGCTGTCCTCAGTGTTGGTCACATCCCATTCAGCTGCAGCCTCATCTGACACCTCAAGATACCTTTCAGCATCCTCCCACTCAGGGGCTGATTCAAGAACCTCATCATTGATGGAGGCTCCTCAGCGCCAACCCTGGCGATGCGCTGGTACTTGGATGCCTGCCCACTGGGCTGCAAATCGATAGCATCTTGCGCCCGCTTTGCAACATCGATGAGAAGATCATCATCTGTCATCGGTATCACCGGCGTTCCGCCTTCAGGAGACGGCGGATCAGAAGCAGCAACTTCCATTGGTGATTCAAGCGGCGCTGGGGCTGCAGCAGGCTCAACAACACTTGTCGGAGCACGATCAGACCGGTCAAGAAGAAGCGTGGCTCTCGAAGAAGGCGCTGGGGTCCCCGCCGCAACGCTTGGCGGTTGCACTGACTCAGCTGGCACAGGTGCAGGAGGGATCCCCGCCATGGCCGGCATGTCTGGCATTCTTGGCGCCTCAACCTGAACCTCACCTTGGGGAGCATCGGGCTCACCCTTGTCAGCTGGCTTGGGCACGCGATGCCTAGCCTGTGGAACAACCTTTGTGCCAAGCAAACCAAGCTGATAATCCCAAGGAAATCCTTTGGCATCAATCGCCAGACTCTGCTCGGACTCCCACGGCTTGTCATTTCGCCTGATTGACTTGGTGAGCCACACTCCTGCAGAGTTGCACAACACATACATGTCATTGCTTGGACTCTTAGTCAGCATGAGGGCTCTGTGCCATCGGCGGTCGCCTTTGTGCTTCCCTTTTCGGTAGCCCCAGACGGGCTCGGCATACATTCCAAGCTTGCCTGAATACCTGAACCCGGTTGCTCGCTCAAAAGCGGTGGCACCTCCTCTGACAGCAAACCTGTTAAGGATGAACGCTGCATGCACGTAACTCCATGCCATCAAGGGGTGACTGGGTCCTAGGTCATCAGGGCCTAAACCGAACTTGGCACGGGCCTGGTCAAGGAAAACATTGGAAAGCCCTCGCAGCAGATCAACCGTCTTTTCCACATACCCTTTGGAGGCATGGGACTCGACAGCAGCATTGCGCACAACGGTTTTGAAGTTCAATCTTGTTCGGACACCGATGATCAAGTTTTGCAGCGCGACAGTGCTCGGCTCATTGTCGGTCTGGAGGGCAATCGTGTTATGCCCCAGCGACTGCACAAATCTGGTCAGTTCGATCGCTGCAAATTTCAAATCATCTTTACCCTTGCTTGCAACCGGAAGTCCGAAAACTGAACCCGTCGCTGTATCGTGCGCTACTAAAATTGTGAGCTTGTGGTGCTGAAGGTCTGAATCATCTGTGGTCACGGAAGTGTAACAGAAGTCGAAGCTTACAATTGGAGTGTCCCGGTCGGGA